GCATCAGACTATTTTTTGTTTTTTTTCCTTTTTTTGTTTTTCCCCTTTTAAGATTCATTTTATAATTTTTAAATTATGTGTATCTCTGTGTGGGTTTGGTCACTTGTGAATGAATGTACCCTGTCCAGAAAATGGCATCATTAGGCAGGTGTAAACAGTCTAATATGGATGTTGGCAACCAAACCTAGATCCCCTACGAGAGCAGCATGTGCTCTAACTGCTGTTACCGATGTGATGTTTTCTTTATAAAGCATTCCACATCCACACGGCTTTGATCCTTTCGATGGATCCTTGTTGGGTGGGTATGGTTAGTGCTGTCAGCTTGACAGAATCTAAAATCACATAGGAGATGGGCCTCTGGGAATGACTGTGAGGGATTTTACCCCCAAACCTCAAGATTGGGTTTCTCTGTGTGACAGCCCTGGCTGTCCTGGAACTTGCTCTGTGACCAGGCTGGCCTTGAACTCCCAGAGACCCACCTGCCTTCCCGAGTGCTGGGATTAAAGGCGTGTGCCACCAAGCTGGTCTCAGGGTAGAATCTTACTGTGTGTATAAGCATTTGTGTATGAACAAGGGTGTGCAGATGCCATAGAACCTGTGTGGAAGATGGAGCAATGCCTCAGGTAACAGTCCTTGCTTCTACCTTGAGATGGGTGGGATCTCTGCTGTTTTCCACTTTGCATGCTAGGTTAGCAGCCCAGGAACTCCCAGGAATTCTGTCTCAGTTCCCCTTAGCAGCACTGAAATTTCAGATGCTCCTTCCTAGAGTCCAGGTTTTTTACATGGGTTCTCGAGACTTAAACACAGATCCTCACATTTGAATTACTTTTATATTGACACCTCTCCAGCCTCCCTCCCTCCCTCCCTCCCTCCCTATCCAAACTGGTGACTCTGCCCTTCCTGCATCTACCTCTCAACTGCTGAAATTACTTAGTAGGCTTGCACCACCTCACCAGCTTATGGTGCCATTACCACAGTTCAGGGAAACACATACAGAGGAAAATGTTAAGCCACTACAGCCTCGTGTTTTCCCATTTCTTGTTTCAGATCCTAACTCTAACAAATACAGAGGTACAGACAGGCTGTGGAGGAACTTAACTGGAGAGCAGAAGACACCACTAGTTAGCTAAGGAATTCTCTCAGATGAGGTCACCTGGCCAAAGAGTACCAATTGTAACTAGTATTTTTGCAGATATCGTTAAAATTTCAAAAAAAGTTAATTTTAAAAAGTAGATAGGAAACATTACATATTACATTTATTTGGGATGTGTGTGTGTGTGTGTGTTGTGTATCATGTATCAGAAGACGTAAAGTCACTTCTTGCCTTCCTCCTTCCTCCTGGAATCAAACTCAGGTTGTCAGGCTTGGCTACAAGTGCCTGTACTTCATTTGCTGAGCCATCTGGTGGCCCTTAACTAGATTTAAAACATTGTGACCAATTAAGACTATAAGAAGCTAGCTGTGGTGGCACATGCCTGTAATCCCAGCATTTGTGAGGTAGAGGCAGAATAAGGAGTTCAAATCCAACACAAAAAGAACTGGGGCCAGACTAATGGCTCGATCACGATGGTGCCTATGAGAAATAAAAGAACTGAATGTGATTCTCAGGAAGGACCTACAAACAAGGTGGTGTGCAGGGGAGTAGGGGACTGTCAGGGAAGAGGGGATAGGGATGGAAGAAAGCAACTGGAAGCTCTTTTGGCATGACATGCCTGATTTACAGGTCAGGTGAAGGAAAAGAATGGACTATCCTTTACTCTTGGTGGTTGAAACTGCCAGATATCGTGTCAAGTCAATCTGCTTAAGCATTCCTAGTGTGTCTCTGAAAAGCAGATGAGGGAATTTCTATCCTGTGTGTGGGTGTGCACATGTGTGCCTATGGAGGCCAGGAACCAACTTCCTATGACATTCCTTAGACACTATCCACCGTGCTTTTTCAGACAGATCTCCACAGGGATTACATTAGGCTGGCTGGCTAACAAGCCCCAGGGATTGTCTCTCTCTGCCAGTGCTTGTCACCACACTCAGCTTTTGCATATATAGGTTCTAGGAACAAAACTCAGTGCCTTTTGTTTTGTTTTTTGAGACAGGGTTTCTTTGTGTAACAGCCCTAGCTGTCCTGGAACTAGCTCTGTAGACCAGGCTGGCCTCGAATTCCCAGACATCTGCCTGCCTCTGCCTCCCTAGTGCCGGATTAAAGACATGCAGCCCCACCACCCAGCTTCAGAGCCTCACTCTTACATAGCAAGCACTTTAATATGCCATGTTACTAGCCCAGAATTTTCACCTTTTATATTTTAACTTTGAATCATATTTAATACCTGTCAAAACATTGACACTGAACATAAGAAACAAGGCTTTGTTTCATTTAGAAATTTCAGCCAACAAATAAACTTGAAAAGAAACCTACCTGGAAGCTGGGCGTTGGTGGCGCACGCCTTTAATCCCAGCACTTGGGAGGCAGAGGCAGAGGCAGAGGCAGAGGCAGGCGGATCTCTGTGAGTTCGAGGCCAGCCTGGTCTTCAGAGCGAGTGCCAAGATAGGCTCCAAAGCTACACAGAGAAACCCTGTCTCGAAAAACAAAAATAAAAAAACAAAAAAACAAACAAAAATAAAAGAAACCTACCTGGAATTCCAAGACCCAACCATGGCCAGTTAGTTATATGTATATACAAACATCTGAGGTAACTGTTTGGTTTAAAGCTAGAGCCAGGGAATGGAATTGTAGCTTGGCTAGTCTTTATGACAACTTGACATAGCTAGTCATCCAAGAGGGGGGAACCTCAATTAAGAAAATGCCTCCATAAGATCAGGGTGTATGCAAGTCTGTAGGGCATTTTCTTATTTAGTGATTAATGGGGAAGGACCCAGCTCACTGTGGCTGGTGCCATCCCTGGGGTGGTGTTTCTGACTTCTATAAGAAAGCAGGCTGAGGAAGCCAGTAAGTAGCACTCCTCCTTGGCCTCTGCATCAGCTCCTGTCTCCAATTTCCTGTTCTGATTTCCTTGATAACGAACAGTGCTGTGGAAGAATAAGCAGAATAAACCATTGCCTCTCCAAGTTTTTTGTTGTTGCTTTACTGTTAGGTTTGTTCTTTTTTTAAACATATATATAGATATAGATATATTTAGATATATATATTTAGATATGAATACTCTTGTCAGCATGTGTGCCTGCAAGCCAGAAGAGGGCATCAGATTTCATTATAGATGGTTGTGAGCCACCATGTGGTTGCTGGGAGATCTCAGAACCTATGGAAAAGCAGCCAGTGCTCTTAACAACTGATCCATCTTTCCAGCCCCTCCCCAAGTTGTTTTGGTCATGGTGTTTTATCACAGCAGCAGTAACCCTAACTAAGGCAGTGTACAAAGTCATAAATTTGATGGCCAGACTACAAGGAAAAATAACCTGCATTTTTTTTTTTCTTTTGAGACAGGGTTTCTCTGTGTAGCCTTAGCTGTCTGGGATCTCGAAGTGTAGACCAGGCTGATCTCAAACTCACAGATATCCGCCTGCCTCAGCCTTCTGAGCGCTGGCATTAAAGGTGTGGGCCACCAATGCCCAGCCCTGCAATTTCATTTAGCAATAGTTTGAAAGCAGTTTTTCCCACAACAGAGAGAAGATTCTTGCTAACTTTCTGCTACATTATCCAATCTCCAATCTCTCCTTCCAAGGTAACTAGACCCTAATTTTATGCTGTGCTGCACTGTACTGCATATAAAAAAAATTCATATTTTCCCAGCATGCTTTGCAATTAGGTGTGGCCAAATATCGAAAGGGAACAAGATTCGAAGGTAGACATCATGTGAAATTTCCAGGAAGTCTTAGGATCCTGGCATTTCCCCTTTCCTTCCTGTGACTGACAATGCAAAGGCAATTGTGACACTGAAGCAGCCATCTGGGAACATGATCACGAGGAGCATGCCCCTGGGGAATTTAAAGGGAAAAAAGCCCTTAGGATGCCTGGCTTGCTTCTGAGTTGCTTTCCACACACATGTATAGACTAGTGTGTTTTGGCTACTGTCATGTTTCCATGAACTTGTATTTGAGTTCCAGGTTAGGCTGGACTATATCATGGGACTCAAAATACAACAGCAACAAAACAAAAAACAAAAATAGGGCTGGAGATCTAGCTCACTTGGCAGAGTACCTGCCTAGCATACTTGAGGCCCTGGGTTTCATCTTGTCAGAACTTTGCACAGTAGCACATACCTATAATCTGTGCACCCAGGAATTGAAGGCAAAAGGGTCAGAAGTTCAAAGTCACTCTCAACTAACACAAGTTTGGGGTCATCATGGGCTACATGAGACCCTTTTTTTTTTTTTTTTTTTTTTTTTTAAGTCAGTCATGGTGGCACACCCCTTTAATCTCAGCACACAGGAGACAGACAAAGGACGATCACTGTATGCGTGAAGCCAGCCTGGACTACACGGTGAATTCCAGGCCAGCCCAGGCTACACAGTGGGACCATGTCTTAAAAACAATACAACAGCAGCCAGAAGCCATCCTAAAATCTACTAAAATGATTAAATTTTTGTGCTATTAATATACACCCAAAGAAAATTATTGTTGGAGGATTTCCAACTAGATGAACACATCAAGACCAGAAGGAATGTCTTCCAGATTCTAAGGCAGAATCTCACAACACTGGCTGGACTTTATAGCCCTTACCAAGCATTTCAGTCAAGCTCAGGGTTCCTCCTCCCACAGACCCAGCCAAGCAGAACTTGTTGAAGCACACATGCCAAAGAACCCAGCATGCAGTAGGTGCTCGCCAAGTATTGGTGGACTGGAAGGACATGATTGGCCCACCAAGTGTGGTCTCCTGGTCTCATGGCAGCCCCTTCTGGTTACACTTGAAGCAAATACCCAACCCTCTTCTCCAGCTTCCACAGCTTGTCAGAACACTGCTCTTCATTATGTCCTCACTTGCCAACAGAAGACGGGTCTCTTCCAGCCTGTCACCTCTAAATGCATTCCCTATGGACTCAACACCAGGCAAATTTGTACACAGTATTTATTCAATGACGTTCTGTACTTAGTCATCACATGGCTCTCTACCTGCATCACAGTTCTCCACCTTGGATTGTGAGGGTCATGGGACTAGCCAGCTAGCTGTGATTTACAACAAGGAACACAGGGTCACAATGAAAGAGCTTTGAGATGTTTGTGAACAGAAAGAATGAGGATGACGTTGTGGGTCCTGAGTAAGGGCCCAGACAGGCTGCCCAATCCACAGAACCCGAGGCCTGAGCAAGGCCTCAGAGAGTCCATCTAAGGGAGAATCTAAGGCACTGTAGTGAAGGACATGATTGGCCCACCAAGTGTGGTCTCCTGGTCTCATGGCAGCCCCTTGCTGGAACCAGTGCAATGAGCATTCCATTTAGATTTTACTGAACATCTGCAAGCAGCATTCCCTAATGAAAATGAAGACAAGGCCATTCTTGGAAGAGTGTGCCCCAGAAGACACACTCTGTCACAAGACCAACCAGGTCCCTTTCTAAGGTCCCTGAGAATAGCAGCCTGGGAGCAACTAAGACTTTCAAAGGCTGACAAGGCACAGAGTGGATGAATGAAAAGATAACAATACATGGAAAAAACTTTGGCTTATATAAAACTCCAACCCGAGGCAGGGACAACAGTGTCAACCAACATGCAGAAGCAGAAATGAGTGCAGCAGAGATGATCTCAGAAATTGTCAGCATCCCCCACACTACCCAAATCCCAAGCCCAGCTCTCCCTCCTCCCCCAGCACCCCAATAACACACACGCACACACACACATGATCTACAGAGATTGGCAATCAAGGTCTGACATCAGAAGAGAACTCTTGGCACTCTGCAACACATCACAATGAGTCCCGACCAGACAGTGAAAGGAACGCTGGCCTAAGTGTAACTGAAGAGTCTCGGTTGAGGAGTTAGGCAGTCCTCAAGACAGAGAGGTCTGGAAAGTCTTTCACTTCTCCTACTTCGCTGAATGGCTGCCCACCCTGGTTGAAAGTCAGCTTATACCGCAACCGGAGGGGTTCCTGGGACAGAAGAGAGGCTAAGTTACTAGAGATTCAAGCCCATATAGTAAAAGGCTCCACCCAACCTAAGAGTCTCCAAGGCACAGCTTATAACTTGTTTATTTTTTTAGATAGGGTCTTCACTATGTAGCCTTCGCTGGCCTGGAACTCACTGTATAGATCAGACCCTCAAAAGTGCTGGGACTTAGGTGTGCACCACCCCACACTCAGTTTATGTATTTCCCACAAATGAAACCTTCAAGTAATGGAATATCATGGCTACATTGGCTTAGGCTCTTTGGAGCTACAAACATAAATGGAGCCAGGCATGGGACCCTGGAAGCCTTGCCCACTTGTTCAGTCCCAGAGGGAAATTCAGAGGCCCACAGGAAGACAGGATGTTTCCTCCAGAAGAGTCTAGATATGAGTTCAGATTTGTCCCTTGGTTCCCAGCTGTGACAGATCTTCTAACAAGCAAGCTCCAAAGCAAAGAAGGCCCCAATAAGGGCTGTTCCACCCCCAAACTCAACCTGGAACTACTAAGACTTGAAAGCAAAGCTTCGATGTAGCAGTCAGGGGCCCTAATTCCCTGCTACCAAAGGCCCAGGAACATACTTTGTGTGGGTTGTCAAGCAGCAGCATCTGAGATATCACAGCTGGAGGCATCAAAGGACTGAATGCAGGGAGCTTGGAACTGGATGCCGGCTGCAGCTTCACTCGCATTGACTATGGGTGGAAAATTCAATATGTTAATCCAGAAAGCCACAGCTTCATTGAGGGCACTCAGGCCAACAGCAATTTGATCTCCCTCAAAAACACCCTTATGGTCTCATATAGCTATTTCTTATGAGGCGATAGAGGATCCAAAAAAAGGCTTTCTGCCCACAGGCATTCATGTAAAGGTGTGTGGTCAACAGTTGGCATCTCAGAGGAAGCATAAAATACTAGAGAAAATTTTGGGCTGAGTTCTCAATCTGCCTCTTACTGGCTCTATGTCCTTGGGTACAACACTTAGTTCTGAACCTTGCCTTGACATGCAGTGACAAGCTACCATATGGATGAGAGCACACACATATCTATTTCTATCTTTTCTTGCTTGCTTTTATAGCCTAAAGAGGACCATGCAACCCTGGATGCTAGTGGCCATATTCATGCTTTATAAGGTTCAGAACAACCCAAAGAGAGAACAACCCAAATAGAGCCAATTCTCTTCCTCTAGGTGAGGTGTGGTGGCATATGCCTATACACCCAGCACTCAGAGGCAGGAAGAAGTTCAGTTTAAGCCCAAGCTTGGCTAAAAGCAAGTTCCAGGCCAGCTTGACCTACACAGTATGACCCTATATCAAAAACAAATCAGGGTATGGCGACACACACTTTTAATCCCAGCAGTTGGGAGACAGAGGCAGGTATATTTTTGTGAATTAGGGGCCAGCCTGGTCTACACAATGAGTTCCAGGCCAGCAAGGCTACACAGTGAGACCCTGTCTCAAAAAAACAAAACAAGCAAACCCACAAACAAGATTTTGTTTTTGTTTTGTTTCTCAAGACAGGGTTTCTCTGTGTAGTCCTGGCTGTCCTAGAACTTACTCTGTAGACCAGGCTGGCCTCAAACTCGTAAAGATCCACTTTCCTCTGCCTCCCAAGTGCTGGAATTAAAGGTGTGTGTCACCCCTGGTAGCATTCTTAAGGAATTAACTTGAAAACTTACCTGGATAGATCCTTATCTGAAGTCAGATAAACAGGAATATCCAACTAAGCAACCCATTAAAATCCCCATTTTATGTTTATCCAGTCTCCCTTATACCTAATAATGTCACAGCAAGTGCTCAGAAATGAGTCACTAGTGAAAAGGTCAAAGCTGGCCAGCAGCAGATGACTCACCTTTGGGACAGCCACCTGAAACATGATGTCCCAGACAGGCTGGGTGGCAGTGCTCATCATGGTCAACAGCAACACCTGCACATCTGGGTGGCCAGGGGCCCCGGTCTGAGAGAAGTGCAGCAGGATTCTGAAGCCATTGCGGTCATACACGATGATGGGCGGCAGGCTGCCTGGTAGACAGGAACCCGAGAAGGGTTAGCACTCACACGTGACACCATCGCTTCTGCCTCACATCTCTTCACCTCACCATCTGCACTTGTATCCCAAATCCTCACAAGACTCCTCTAATCCAAATGGTCTCTTACCACCACCTACCATCGAGATATCTGGCTTGAAAAAGGATTTTTTTTTTTTTATTAAACTCAGTCAAGACTAAAGTTATGTAAGAATACTATGGAAAGCACGGAATATCACAAAGAATGAAATTCAAAACAAACCAAAAACTCAGCAAATATACAGCCAGTTGTGTATATTAAAGGTGGGACCACACCTTTAATCCCAGCACTAAGGAGACAAACGCGGACAGATCTCTGTGAGTTCTAGGACAACCAGAACTACACAGTGAGACCCTGTATTAACAGCTACCCCCACACACACACACACACAAAACATTTAGCTACCTATAAACAAGCAGTACAAACAT